CGTCGTCACAAGAGGAACAACGAAGACAGAAACAGAAGCGATTTCAGTGTATGCATTGCGAGAAATCTTTTGGAAAATCTTCACACCTGCGTGATCACATCAGAACTCACACCGGGGATCGCCCGTTTCGCTGTCAGTTTTGCAACAAAGCTTTCACCCAGTACTCGAACTTGCGCACGCACACGCGAATTCACACGGGCGAAAAGCCATTCAAGTGTCACCACTGTAACAAAAGCTTTACACAAGCTGTCACGCTAAGAAGTCACACAAGGACTCACACGGGTGACAGGCCTTATCACTGTAAGAGGTGCAGCAAATCGTTCGCCTGTTTTTCTGGTTTGAAAGGACATCACAGGGTTCATTCGGACACGGAGCAAGATGAACTGGAAATTTAATAAATTGCAAACGACTAAAAGAGAATCACAAAATTGTCAACATGACTTGTAAACCACGTCTGATATACTAAGTATAAAAACAGAATTTTCGCCAATAGTCGTGTTCAACTTCATATCCATCCTGACCGAAAGGAAAAACTGCACAAGGAAAGTTTACTCCAAGATAACTTACCCGTTTTACAATCGGTCCGGTAGATCCTTCTGCAAATGACAATCGAAAATAAAAGTTTACCTCTAAGAAAGCTTTTCATGAAAGATTGAAAAACCCAGTTTACAAAAGTGTAAAGGTCTTCAGTCAACACACTGAGCTTATATAATTGCAAAAAAATAACCGTCTGGATAATGTTCATATTTACGTAATGTATGTTGACTATATACCAGTCACACAAATGCAGTACTTAATATAAAATCAAATTTTCCTAGGTGCAAAAACACCTGAACGACGACTATTTGATTCAGGATGCTTCTTTCGCTTTTTTTATGAAATTCTCGATTAGAGTTACGTCACTGGCTTTCAACTTTTGGAGAGGGTCTATTACAATGGAGATTTTAAAGAGAATTGTGAGCCAATTTCTTCCTATTTTCCACTGCCGTTTCTGCCGAGTCTGTACTGCACTTTTGAGCTCTAATTTTTGTGTTAAATGTGAGAGGTGTAGTTGAACAGATGTTAAAAATAATATTGTAAATACGACACTCTTCTTTCTGTATAAAATAACAAAGAATTGTATGAAGTCCTGTGTCTGGTTTTTGGTGTTTGGCCCAGCCTTGCGATGGAACGCCACAATAATGATTTCCTATCTCCTCCCCTCCTGGCGTAGGGTCGGGGGGGGGGGGGGGGGGGGGGGAAGGAATAGGATATTTGTCGACGATTTCTCAGCGTCCTGTGCAAAACAACAACGTGAAATGACCAAATTTTGCGTCGTCTAGAGAACGTGAACAACGACAGCTAATTTTTTAGATTTCTACTTCTAATTTAACGCTGTGTTCCATATTCAGTTTCGAGATAGTTTTGACCGTGAAAAACAAACGACTTTTGAGTATTGCGAGATCCGGAGGTAAAATGGAGATTCACTTTTTTTAACCGACGTTGTCCACGGCGTCGCCGTCGTCGTCTATTACACTCCCTATTAGCGCTGTAGAACGCGCGTTTACCCTACCTGTAGGAAGATTTGGGACAAGTAAGGCAGAGGTTTGCCGGGGCTTTAGCCTCATCATCAGTACTACACCCCTTACGCACCTCTTGCCAGCTTCCGTTGCTCGGGGCTTTATACTTTTCCTGCGAGCGAAGAAACACTCGTGCTGAGGCACTAATAATGAGGAACTATTCGCAAGGTAAAACTGATTTGTTGAAGTGAACGTTCTCTTCCTGACGAGAGTTTTCGCTCGTAGCCAGAGCTTCATAGGACGCTTGTCTCCCTGCGTTCATTGCAAGCTGTTGTATAAACAGTTCCCGCTTTTTCTGGGTAAAACAAATTTTGAGATGTATATCGTAATCCAGCACTGACGAAGAAGCAGCATTTACTAAGAAATTGGTGATAGGCATTTACTTTTCCGAGCTGTCCATACTCATTGTTATTCTCATGCAAATACGACTAATTTTCGAAAAAAATGTATTTTGAATTTTGAATTCATGTTGAAATGGGGGTTTTGAGAAATCGGTTATAGCCTCTATCGATTCATTTAGGCCTATTCGACTTTGGAAGAAAATATGATACTGGGTTGCTTGCCATTTACCTAGTCACGCATTTGATTACGTGACAAGCTTTTAAAATTGTCTGCTATATTTTCAAATTCGCTCGTAAAACCTCGAGAAATCGTCACAACAATTATGTAATCTTATAAAAAGACTACAGAGATTGCTTAGATGCTAACTTGACACGAAATAACCTTGATTTGATATCTTACCTGATGCGTGAGCTAAATTCTTGAAAGGCTATACATGTTATAATATTTGCTCGCACAAAACAACAGTCATCAGGGGTCCATAACTTAGGTAATAGGCTCCTGAGACATCCATTACGTCCACCAAATAATCTTGGTCTCTAATTCTGCAGGCTCAGCTGGTCCACAAACATCTCACGTTTATTCTAGACACGATGTAACCCGCCAAGTCAACAAAGATTACATTTTCAGTAACGCGTGTAAGGTTTAGTAACCGCCCCTTACAGTCTTTTGTTTCCAGTCCTCTCATTCTAATTGACTTGGCAGTCCTTCACAGTCCAATCACCGCAATGATTATCTGCCGTAAACTCTTTTTCTATTACTTTAAATAACAATGTTATTAAGCGGGTTTTTCACTTCTCTTATCTCGGTATAGTTTTTGATGACCGCTTTAGCTGGAATGAGCAAATAAAGCAGCTTATTTCGAAGGCGGGAAAACGCCTAGGAATGCTCGGCAGGCTTCGTAGAAGCCTCACTAGAGAGAGTGCAAATATAGTTTATTGTAGGCCAAACATGGCTTTGAAACACTCCAAAACCGGGCTGCTGCTGCAAAACCGAAATGTGCGCAGCAACCCGGCAATGGATGTTCTGAAATGGCCCACGCTGGAGGAGCACCGTCGTAAAAATGTTTTTAAACTCGTTAAGAAATGCCTGCAAGATCAATGTCCCCAATATTTTCAAAAATATTTTAAACGTAATAATACAATTTACGCCCGCGCCACTAGACAAAGTAACCTTTTACATCCGCCTGCTGTGAGGACTGTGATCGCAAAATGATCTTTCTATTACTATGGGTGATGGTATTTCGTATTTCTTTACTTTTAAATTTTTTATTTGTACATAGTTTTCTATCTATATTACTATCAGTATCAGTGTAATGCATATGTATACCATAGTTTTAGTGCATTACTGTGCTCCGGGCTCCCATTGATAACAGACAGCTTTTTGCATCTGAAGAGGCTACCCGAGCGGTATAAATCAATCATAAAAGTCCTTCTTCTTCTTCTTCTTCTTCGTGTCGTGGTATCTTGTGAAGTAAAACTCTTTTCTGCCGAGGTTATGCCCGATGCAATGATTTGTAAGATATGCAGTTCCACAGACAAATCAACTTGTAGACCCGCGATCACGAAACCCTCCTCAGGTCACAGTCCACTGTACTGAAAGTCAGTTATAGCTGGGATTATATTAAACATGGCAGAAGTTCAAAATGCAATTTTCATCATTGATGCTCATTACGGTTATCATAAAAGCAGCAAGCTTTGACCCACTCAAATAAGAATATTCAAAATACTGAATGTATGGCGACAATTAGCGTTTCAATAATGCTAAGGTTTTTACTCGTGGGCTTTCACCCTCAGGCGCGACATCGGTTGGATTTTTATCTTTCAAAGGTTTTTTTATCGTGATGGAAATGTCATTTTATAGTGATCGGAAAGCTTTGAGTGTTGTAATAATGTACCTGTTTTATCGTTTACTTAAGGAAAATGTTACACTTGGCAGGGGTCGCACTAGTGCTTTTGGCCCTCATTCGACACATTTATAAACATTCACCATACCACGACATACCACGAATTCTGTCGAGTGACACTTCCGAAACCCGCGCTAATGAGGGCTCAAGATCTTGTTTTGCTGAAGATATTTGTACAGTTGGATATGTACAGCCCGTTCTAAAACCTTGGATAGAACAGATAAAATGGAAATCGGGCGATAATTGTCCATCTCATCAGCCTTTCCCTTTTTAAAAAGTGGAATGAACCGCGCAGATTTCCAGTCACAAGGAACTTTGGCATTACGCAAAGAAGTGTTGATAATGAACGTCACAGGGTTGACTACAATATCCGAAGAATCTTTTAACAGGCGCGCCGGTATGCGGTCCAAACCCTCAGCCCTCACAGATTTCAGGCTACGTAACTGCGACAGAACAAACTCCCATAGAAGTTACTATAAGTTGTTGAAAAAGTCTGAAGTTTAAAAGCAACAACAGTTGTTTTAAGGGAGTGGGTCTTATTTTCAAATTAGCTGGTGGTGATCGTAGATTTCATGAAAAAATTTTGATGCCTACAGGGGCTATATGTATCGATCATCACTTTTTCCCAACTGGCTAACAATCTCTAAATTTACTTTTTATAATACATCTTCACGTTTTGTTATTATTTATTGTTTAGATGCAAAATAAACTTACTTCTTCCTAAAAATGGTGTAACTTTTATTAACACCTAGCCTTGAATATGCACCCACCTAGAGGGGCCTACTCTGCCTCAAAGTCCTAAAATTTTTTACAAGCTCTCATAAGCAATTCAATTTGGTAACTTTGGCTCTTCGGTTCCGAACCTCATTCTCAAAGCGGTCTGTCTCACCGCCGTTATATAATTGCACTCGAGGCTCGAAGAATAGCCTCTCATTCAATGGAAATATATCTATCACTGTTGATCACATTTTCAAATATTTTGAGGGCAGTTTCAAGACATTTTGCTCAGGGGTGATCCACTATGCAAATTATGCAAATCTAAGGATCAGTTAAGGCTCTGACCGTGTGACACGCAGTATTTTGAATATTCTAGCAGATAAATGTCGCAACGTGTTGCTTTTTTTTAGTGATTACACAATGTAAGGATCAGGCAAAAGCTTTTTTGACAAAATTTTAAAGGATCTGAGCACTGTCAAACAAGAATTTCGATTGTGGCTAATGACTATGGGCGATCACAATAACCTTCAAGTGGGTAAAGAAATACCGGCTTCAGACACAAAGTCAAGGTGGCTTAATACTTTCTGTTTCTACATCTTTGGTTTTTTCACCTACTTCAGCGTAGAAATGTTCGTCATAGGAACGCAGGATATCCTGAGCGGCAGGAACATTCCGACCGCTATTTTGATCACTTGCTTTGAAGGTCCTTTAGTGATGGCCAAACTAGTCATTCCTTGGTTTCAGGAGAAGATTCCCTACGTGGTGAAGGCGTTCTTTATCGCATTCTTTATGATTCTTGGATTGTCTATAGTCGTTTTCGCAAACGACTTCAGAGTGAAAATTTTAGGAGTCGGGCTAAACGCCATGGCTGCTGGTGCTAACGAAGCCACCTTCCTTGCGCTGGCTTCGTTCTACCCAAAGCTATGTATCAGCGCGTTCGTCTCTGGCACTGGATCGGGTTGTCTGATTGCCGCTCTTTACTACATGGGTAACTACAAAAAATTCTCTTATTTTTCAGAGCTTTCCGTAATTGAACACGAGCCTCTGTTCCTTTTGATACAGAGTGTGTTTAATTGAATTTACTCTCTAGTAGTTAACCGCAAAAGGGGAAATAATGAGTGAATATCATGAAACAAACTGTCTTCAACATGAAAAAATAGCGAATGTTGAAGCTTGCGATAAGGGAGCGAACCATGAGCGCCTGAAAGAGAAATTCAAGAGAGTGCAAGGTTCCGTCAACTTTACAACAGAAACAATGAAAAACACAATCTATAGGTAACTTGTCCATTGAAAATGGGATAATTAATTAAGGTACTTTTAACCGGATAAAATTGAAAAAGCTGTCGTTAACTGTGTTACAAATCAGTTTGAAGAAAATACATTTTGAAAATTGAGCTTTTCGAAATCGTCAATGTCAGTGCTCTTCCTTATTACACTTCCGATTCTCGCTCAAATTTCCAACGGCACGAACGTCTATCGAAGCCGAGAACTGAACTTTCCATTCGTATCCTTTTTCCCTCCTACATTTATAGATTTGGACTTTTGTTTGTGTGCGTCACGTAGAGATTTAAAATTTTTTATGACGCCGTTAGTGCGCTGTGTCATTATAATATGGAGGATTAGTTTTGTCATTTGCATTTCAGACGTAATACTGTCTTTCCCCCTTTGTGTGTCTATCTAAAAGGAAACAGTCAAGTGTTTCTATCGCTGGTCATTATTTCGATTTAAAAATAAATCAGGCAAAAATTTAGACGGAAAATATCAGCTACTTTTACAATCTGAAAACGTCTTTTCAAAATTACTCTTCGTACAAATTGTGTAGACGGGCTCCTTAGAGAAAATAAAGAGATGTTCGCAAGTAATATGCCTAGATTTCCTATCGTATAAAAGCTAAGTTTTTCATTTGTCTCACAATGTAGTCACGTGTGATGTAGACCGCGACGTTTCGACTGCATACTGCTAGTCTTCTTCAGGCGATGAGGTCGACTAGTCGTGCGATCTACATCATCATCGTGAGACAAACGAAAAACTTAGCTTTTATTGTTATTCACCACGATGAATAACCACAACCTTTTCTACGCAATAAATCTTATCGTCATGATCCCAATGAAATTCTGAACTACTAGCTAAGGGCTACAATGCTCAATATGTACAGTTGAAAGAGAAAAGTGATCATTGTTTTTTCTTTTTATCAGCTCTCACGACGTGGACTTGCTTATCTCCTAAGACCACTATGATGATAACAATTCCCCTTCCTCTGGCAGTTTTGATCTTTTACGCATTGCTGAACAAAGAATTTCTCCCAAACAGCTCACAAAGCAGCCCCATGAAGCTCAAACACCTTAAATACTCCATTGTAGGATCCACTTCTGACACCATGGATCAGGATGCGCCAACTCGCCAAAAACTAACATGTGGCGAAATGCTTAACATCGCATGGAAAATTAGTTCAGTTGGTATTTCTCTATTGTTGAGTTTTTCTGCTGAGTATATCTCAGCGGTATCCGTGCTTACGACGATTTCTTTTCCTAAGTCACAGTTTCTCCCCCGCGATCATTTCCTTATTTATCTGCTATCGTACTACATCGGTAGATTTGTCGGTCGAAGCTATTTACTTTTATTTGCTTGGCTGCCTTCTGATATGACGGAATTCCTTCGCTGCAATAAAACCTGGATTTTCACAATGCTGCAGTTGGTGCAACTGACGTTCTTAATATTGGATTCGTTGTACCATTTCGTCCCGTACATCTGGATAATAATCTGTGTTTGTTCATCTCTTGGTCTAATCGGCGGAATAATAAGCATGAACGCACCCCATGCAGTTGGGCAGCACGATAAATCCGAGGAGAAAGAGTTTGCTTTAGGACTGGTGTCAGTTGGTTCATCTATGGGTATATTAGTGGGTGCCCTGATTGGCCTGGCTGTGGAATCGAGTCTTAGAAAGCATTGTGTCGAGCATTACCCAGACACCAAAGAGTTCTGCTTCACAAGATATCAAGACACCACTGGCTGGGAAACTAATATTCACTGTTAAAGCCTGTTATATATTCTGACGCTTCGGAGCATAAGCGCTCTTAAAGCCAAAGCCAACCAGCTAAACAAAACAACCTAACTGACCAATAGACAAAGGTCCAATCAAAACTTCGTTTGTATTAAATTTTATGAGAGAGAATGTCATCACGAAATTTATGTGTTTTCCGTCAACAAAGATGTTTTTTAGGTTGAGCGCATGATGATCAGATGATGATCGTTCTCTCATCGGCAAGCCTGCTTTAGCAAGTGAATTCTTTGAAATCCTACATTGCTGAAACAGAATGAATTTTGGGTCTATTTGCATTAGATTGTGGGTTCCGAGAAAAAAAAATTTTTATAATCGAGTGAAGTTTCTGATACTTACGAGAATCATCTTCAGATGTGTAAAACTGAGGCTTGTGTCTAAGTTGCGTGCAGTTGGTATGTTTTCACAAGACATCACAAAAGAGGTTTCTTAGGGCCAGACTCAGCAAAGTGCTTTTCACGCGCGCTAGTTGGTTAGTATGGAAGTGATTTGCAGTCTTATTTACCACTGGGCAGCCGAAGACCATTTCTCGGGGTATCGACAGATATAAACTAATGTTTTGGTTTCCGTGTGGTATCTAATAAAACAGTTACTTGCCTCAGTGTCTTTGAAAGTGGTGGATGTTTACCACTAATCGCCTCCACTTCAGTGAATAATTGTTCATTCTTTACTCTTCAGTTTTTACGCGAGTTGGCTGGATTCCACCGGAAATTATTTGTAGCTCACCACTATTAACCCAGCAAAGACTAGTCACCCACAGGAGCCCATTACTCGGAGCGTTCAACTCCCATACTGGGTCTATGCAAGAGCCCATCATGAGCTCTCCGGCTACTTTCTAGTTTTGACCAACAACCCACCAATTTTCCACGCTCTCCTATACTCAAATGTCTTAAAACTAAGCGCTCTTGTTCTTGTTCTAAACAAACATAGTTATTTTCTCTTGAAATAGACACATATATTTTCACTTAAGCGCACTGAACGAGGAGTGGTCACGTGTTTTTAACCAAGGAGGCAGGAAGGCAAGGACGACGAAGACGCCTATTACAAAAATGAATTGCTATTCTGAGTTGGAATTTTGCAAATGGCTGGATGTGTTCACCGTCTCATAAGGTATCACACCTAAATCTCAGTATACCGTACGAGAGCAGCGTTGAATTCCAAATGAAAACTTTTGAGTGGCATTTCACGTTGTTGCTTTTGCATATGACGGCTGAGTAATGTTCAAAGTATTAGAATGCACGTGCTTAGTTAATGTAATTCCCTTTAGATCGTCCTCGTCACCGTCACCATCGTGGTTTTAGGGTCCTTAGTAATTACAAACGAAATGCTTGGGAGCCTCTCTGGAAGAGCGTGAAGCCCATTTCTAAAAAATTATTCTATGTAAAGCTTCCGTTCTTTAAATTTAACATTGGTGGGTAAAAAATAATTCTGTTCGAACACGTTTACAAAAGAAGAAAATTATTGATTAAAAATTCAGTACCTTGGTGTACCGTGTAAAATCACGAAGCAGTCCACGTACCGTACTCTGAAACTCCTGCACAAAATGAACCCCAATTCATTACTAAGGCTTCAAAACTAAGGCGAGGAGTCGGTATGTGGCATTCTTTCGATTCTTGTAATATGTTCAATAATTTTTTTTCTAGGAGCCGTCATTTTTGTGAATGGTTAGCAATTACTTCGAAGCTCCAATGACGTTTTGATAGGCAGAGTGATGATATTTTAAGTGGGAAACTAAGAAATCACATTTCAGAATTAATGTAGCACAATGGGATCATGCAATTCTACAAAAAATGGGGTGGAAAATGAGTATGAGTATGGACATGATCATTTGGTGATGCTGGGCAAACAGATGCTTCACAACCTTATGGTTCCAATGGTCTTGTTACTGAGGCATCAACTTGTATGGAAACATCACAACAAGGATAAAACTGCTCAACTGCTCAACTGCTCAACTGCTCAACGAACACAGAGCACTGATCAGAATGATTCCATGGCAAATTCTGAAGAATTCTTAAGAAACTCGTATGAACAAATCATTCAAAAGCTCCAAAGCTCGAGAGACCTAATTTGGCCTGAGGTGTAATCAAGTTCTCGAAAAGGGTTACATCCCTAACATCTGCTAGAGCTATGCAATCTAATTTGGCGAGTGCTCTTTTTACTTTTGGGTCCAGTGAGGTAAAGAAAACAGGAAATGAAAAAAGATTCGAGTCCAGCCAAACAGAATAAGAAAGAGTGGTAGTGGAAGCCGTCAGGCTGTATCAAAAGGGCGACCAGTACAATTTCAAGAACCCACCTCTAAAGGAAAGTGTGCCCATGACTTGGCTAAAGCAGTGCAAACGAACACTAAAAGTAATAAAAAGTCTGGGTCCCATGCTATGAAATCCAAGACAAAGCCTATACAATGAAAAAAAAGGAAAACAAGAAATCTTAGTGAGTAAATAATGGTTTTTCATAATGCTTTTTCATAATGTAAATTACCTGGATCCCCAAACCCTCTCCCTGGATCTGCCTCTGACTTGGAAGAACAAGGTTAAAAAGATTCAGGTTTTGACATTGTAAATAAGTTTTGAGTTATTCTGTCCTGTTAAAATCTAACACAATATTGTGATTATCTAAAATTTGGTTTTAACAGTAACATTATGTGTCTGGATTTATGGATCTTTCTTTGGGTTCAGATAATTTGTTGGATGCCATACTATATGTTACACTAGCCAATCTCAAATACTTATAATTTTGTTATATTTTTTGTTCAAGTGAAAACCTGTGGGTATTAATGTTTGTTTGCTGATATTCTGATCGAAGAATAAACAATGTTCAGCCATTGATTCACATGGGGCTTAGGGTTAACTATTGACTATAACCAACTGATTATGCAATGTGTGATTCCAGGGAAGAACCATACCTCCCACTAGAAGAATGTTGAGATTTGACTTTCCCACCGTTCTGCAATTTCTGTATAGTTTAAATGAAAAATCCTAGCCACATTGAACCCCATCACACCCCCCCCCCCCACCCAACCCTTTCCGTGAGGGGGTATGGTTATGACCAAAATTAATTTCAGAAATTGAAATTAAAAATTGAAAAAATAATTATGTATTACACATTGGTCATAAAGCAATATCAAATCATCTTGGTTAAAAATAGTGAGTAGCAAAACTGTTGGTGTTTTAATAATGATGGCATGAATTCTCTAACAGCTTTGCTTTTATCAGCTTTATATTCCTAGGCTATTTTTAACTAAAATGTGTGGCAAATCGGTACACTTATACTGACTATCCCTTAAGGATATTCTAGAGTGTTGCCTGAAAAAAAAAACAATTCTGAACAACATTAGAAAATGGACATTCATCTTGATTCAAAACATAAGTTCATAACCTAAAAATACTACTTGGAAAGTCGGGCAAAAACGTTTACACTCTGAGTCCCTCTACAAAGTTAGCCACATAACCCACATGGCAATTATTTTTGTCTTTATCTGCTGTTCAAATAAACGGTTTTTATATACTCATAGTGAGTCGTTTATTCACTTCTTCACGGGTTTATGTGGAAACAAAATTAGAGTTACCTCCCATTTAGCTTGTTAGCTCAGTTGGTAGAGCGCAGCACCGGTACCGCAGAGGTCATGGGTTCAAATCCCGTACAGGCCTGATTTTTTTTTTTAGGCATTATTTTCACTACTGCTCAATTAGTGTTCATTACTGCGAAAATTGCTTTCATATTCACATATTTTTGTAATGAAACCCATTGATCATGAAATGGAGCAGGGTACTGATAAACATTCGCAATGTTCGAAGTTCATTCCCAACCTTTCGTCTGTCTATCGGCAATTTCTTTCACATATTGCCAACCACTTGGAAACCTGCCCGATTCCTGCTTTCTTCCAAGTTGTTCCCTGACTTCTGGCTGTGGAATGATACAAAAAACGAGGAAACAATAACATATGAGACTGCTCAAACAAGCGTTTTATCCTGGCTAAAAATGCTGGAATATTTTGGGAAATACAAAACAAACTCACCGCTACTGACTGGAAAAAGAAGTTCCACCCCGTTGGCTTCTTTATTGATTTTGGTTTTGTGTCAGAACTAGAAGAATGGGCTGGTTCTGGTTCAGCTGGCTTACCTCTCACGCACGTGGATTGTTCCACCATCTTGTAAACAACACTGACACCCCGAAAGTGACGTGCGAGCGTAAGAAAATCACGAGCGAACCACGAACGAGCTTTTCACGAAGGCTGTCGTCTGTTCGGCTACTTTTCGATATGGCATCGACCGTTTTAAATGGCAGCGACCGTTCTGAGAAATGGTATCGACCGTTTACCAAATGGAAATTGGTTCCGACCCTTATTCTCAAAGCGTTCTGTCTCGCCGCCGTTACATACTGTACTCGAAGCTTTAAAGGCCCATTTTCACCCTCGATGCAACGCGCGCCTCGACCTAATTTCCTGTTACACGAAATTCCCAGATAATTTAAAACTTTCTAAAATCGTCTTTCTCAACAGCCATCATGGACACATAGTCAACTGTTTTACGGTAAATATATTCACCGTTCGTCATTTTACAATTTCCTTACAGTATTTTGAATTTTGTCGCGAAGAATCCGAAGAAAATTTTTTTAAGTGTCACGCTTGGATCTCTTCGTACTCTGTGAACAGAGTCGGCGAAAAGGACAACGTTCAAATGTTTTCACTTTCTAGAAGCGCTTGAGCATTCTAAATAAAGATAAAATATTTTCCAATAGAAATTGGTATTTTTCAAAGAGAAATAAGGAAAAATGTCAGACTGCCGGACGTTTAGTTATTCGAAGACCATGTCACACTTGGATCTCTTCGTACTTTGTGTACAGGGTCGGCGAAACGGAAAACGTTCGAATTTTTTCACTTTCTAGATGCGCTTGAGGAGAAATAGGCATATTTCAAAGAGAAATATGGGGTTATTTGAGGACCGTGTTCAGCCGTGTCATTGAAAAGTTTCTAAGTGTCAAGCGCTTGGATTGCTTCGTACTCTTCATTCAGGGTTAGCGAGAAACATCAAGTTCGAAATTTTAGGCTGCCTGGAAGCGCTTGAGGATTGTAAATAAAGGTAGAACATTTTCGTATAAATATTTTTTTTGGTTCAAAACAAAAAAAAACGACCGCGTTGCATCAAGGTTGGAAATGGGCCTCTCATTCAAATGGAAATATATCTATCACTGTTGATCACATTTCAATATTTTGATGACAGTTTCAAGACGTTTTCTTCAAGGGTGAGCTACTATGCAAATTATGAAAATCTAACGATCAATTGAGGCTCTGGCCGTGTGACAAGCAGTATTTTGAATATCATAACAAATCAATGTCGCAGCATGTTTCTCTTTTAGTGATTATTCAGGATCAGGGAAAAGCTTTTGTGACAAAATTTTAGAGCATCGGGGCACTGTCAAACAAGAATTGCGATTGTGGCTAATGACTATGGACGATCACAATAACCTTCAAGCGAGTAAAGAAACACCGGCTTCAGACACAAAGTCAAGGTGGCTAAATACTTTCTGTTTCTACATCTTCGGTTTTTTCGCCTTCTTCAACGTAGAAATGTTCGTCATAGGAGCGCAGGATATCCTGAGCGGCAGGAACGTTCCGACCGCTATTTTGATCACTTGTTTTGAGGGTCCTTTAGTGATGGCCAAACTAGTCATTCCTTGGTTTCAGCAGAAGATTCCCTACGTGGTGAAGATGTTCTTTATCGCATCCTTTATGATTCTTGGATTGTCTTTAGTCGTTTTCGCAAATGACTTTAAAGTAAAGATTTTAGGAGTTGGGCTAAACGCCATGGCTGCTGGTGCTACTGAAACCACCTCTCTTGCGCTGGCTTCGTTTTATCCAAAGTTATGCATCAGCGCGTTCGTCGCTGGCACTGGAACGGGTTGTCTGATTGCTGCTCTATACTACACAGGTAACTGTATCTAATTGTTCAGAGCTTTACTTAATTCAACGTGGGCCTCTGTTTCTTTTAATACAGAGTGTGTTTAATTTAATTTAATCCCTAATAGAAAATAGCAAAAGGGGAAATAATGAGTGAATCATCATGAAACAAAATGTCTCCAGAGAGACAAATAGCGAATGTTAAAGTTTGCTTTAAGGAAGCAAACCGTGAGCGCTTGGAAGAGAAAGTCAAGAGAGTGCAAGGTCCCGGTAACTTTACAACAGGAACATTTAATAACTGGGAATCTACTAGGTAGAGTCTAGTCTGAGTCACGAAGGGATTTGAAGTTTCATGACGCCGTTGGTGCGCTGCGTCATTACAATATGAAGAAATAGCTTGATCATTTGCATCTCAGACGGAATGCTGATTTTCCCCCTTTGTGTGCGTTTCTACGAGGAAACAGTCAAGCATTTCTGTCGCTGGTCATTATATCGATTTAAAAATAAATCAGGCAAAATTTAGACGGAGAATATCAGCCGCATGTGTTTTCAATATGAAAACGTCTTTTCAAAGTTACCCCGTCGTACAAATTGTATAGAAGGGACCCTTGGAGAAAATGAGGAAATGTTCGCAAATAATTTGCCTATAAATCCTATCGTCATCATCTTAATGCAATTCTGAACTACTAGCTAAGAGCAACAATGCTCAATATGTACAGTTGAAAGAGAAAAATCATCATTTTTTTTTTCTTTTCATCAGCTCTCATGACATGGACTTGCTTATCTCCTAAGACCACCATGATGATAACAGTTCCCCTTCCTTTGGCAGTTTTGGTGTCTTACGCATTGCTGAACAAAGACTTTCTCCCAAACAGCTCACAAAGCAGCCCCAAGGAGCTCAAACGCGTTAAGTACTCCATTGTGGGATCCACTTCTGACACCATGGATCAGGATGCGCCATCTCGCCAAAAACTAACATGTGGCGAAATGCTCAACATTGCATGGAAAATGAGTTCAGTCAATATTTCTCTATTGTTGAGCTTTTCTTCTGAGTATATCTCTGCTGTATCCGTACTTACGACGATTTCTTTCCCCGATTCACAATTTCTCCCTCGCGATCACTTCCTTATTTATCTGTTGTCGTACTTTATCGGTAGATTTGTCGGTCGAAGCTACTTGCTTTTATTTTCTTGGCTGCCTTCTAATATTACGAAATTTCTTCAGTGCAATAGAATCTGGATTTTCACAGTGCTGCAGATGGCACAACTGACTTTCTTGGTATTGAACTCGTTGTACCATTTCGTCCCATACATCTGGATAATAATCTGTGTTTGTTCAACTCTTGGTCTAATCGGCGGAATGATATGCGTGAACGCACCCCATGCAGTTGCGCAGCACGTTAAATCCGAGGAGAAAGAGTTTGCTTTAGGACTGGTGTCAGTTGGTTCATCCATGGGTGTATTAGTGGGTGCCCTGATTGGCCTGGCTGTGGAATCGAGTCTTAGAAAGCATTGTGTCGAGCATTACCCAGACACCAAAGAGTTCTGCTTCACAAGATATCAAAACACCACTGGCTGGGAAACTAATATTCACTGTTAAAGCCTGTTATATATTCTGACGCTTTGGTGCTTAAAGTCAAAAACCAACCAAGCAAACAAAAAACCTAACTGACCAATAGACAAAGGTCCAATCAAAACCTTCGTTTGCATTAATTTTTATAGAGAATATCATCACGAAATTTATGTACTTTTCCGTGAACGTATTTTGTTCGCCAGACTAAAAATACTTTGTCCGCAAAACTTCCTGAGACCACTCAGTAATGTTTTAGGTCGAGCGCATGATGATCAGATGAGGATCGTTCTCTCTCAGCAGCAAGCCTGCTTTAGCAAGTGACCTCTTTTGAAGTTCTACGCTGCTGGAACAGTGACCAAAATTTTGGGTCTATTTGCTTTAGATTGTGGGTTCCGAGAAAAAAAAAAATTTTTATAATAGAGTGAAGTTTCTGATACTTACGAGAATCATCTTCAAATGTTTCAAAGACTTGTGTCTAAGTTGCGTGCAGTATGTATGTCTTCGTAAGACGCCGCAAAAAGGGTTGCTTAAGGCCAGACTCGTAAAATAGAAAAAAAACACAGGTCTATATTGCTTTTCACGCGCGCTGATTGGTTAGTTTGGAAGTGATTTGCATTTTATTTACCTTTGGGCAGCCGAAGAGACAAAGAGGCGCTTCAAGAGTTAAATTCCAGACCAATTCTCAAAGCATTGACAGACCTAAACTAATTTTTTGGTTTCTGTGAAGTACACAATGAAACGGTTATTTGCCTCAGTGTCTTTGAAAGTGGTGGATAGTTATCAGTAATCACCTCCACTTCAGTGAATAATTCTCTCCTCTTCAGTTTTTACGTGAGTCGTCTGGATTCCACCGGAAATTATTTCTAGCTCACCCCTATTAAATCATCAAAGACGTATTCACCCAAGCATGTGCTCCCCTGCTAATTTCTAGGTTTGGCCGACAACCCACTCATTTTCCACGCTCTTCTGCACTCAAATGAAACTGAGCGCTGTTGTTCTTGTTCAAAACAAACATAGCTACTGTCTCTTGAAATGGACACACATATTTCGCATTGAACGAAGAGTAGTCACGTGTTTTTAACTAAGGAGGCAGGAAGACGGGTGGTCGATTGCAAAAGAGAAATTCTATTCTGAGTTAGAATTTTGCAGATGGCTGGATGTGTTCACAGTCTCATAAAGTACCCCACCTAAATCTCAGCATACTGTGCAAGAGCAGCGTGGAATTCCAAATGGAAACTTTTGGGTGCCCTCAGTCATACTACGCAAATTTCTGTGATTTCACGATGTTGCTTTTGCATTTGACGGCTGAGTAATGTACAAAGTATTAGAATGCACGCGCTTAGCTATTGTACTTCCCTTTAGATCGTCTGTTTTACCCTGACGTCATCGTTGCTGTTACCGTCGTGGTTTTAAGGTCCTTAGTAACTACGAACGAAATGCTTAGGAGCTTCTCTGGAAAAGCGTAAAGCCCATTGCACAAAATTTCTTCTACGTGAAGCTTCTTTCCTTTAAATCTCCATTCCGACCCTTATATTGGTGCGTAAAAAATACGTTTGTTCGAACACAGGTACAACAGAAGAAAATTATTGACCAAAAATTCAATAAATTTGTCTGTGTAAAACCACGAAGTAGTCCAAGCACCACTCTGAAACTCCTGCGCAATTATAAATGAACCACACTTCATTATAAAGGACTAAAAGCCTCAAAACTAAGGCAAGGAGTCAGTATGTGGCATTCTTTCGATTCTTTTATGTAATATGTTCATTATTTTTTTTACCTTCGAGGGCCGTCATTCTTGTGAATGGTTAGCAACTACTTCGAAGCTCCAACGACGTTTTGATAAGCAGAGTGATGACATTTCGAGTGGAAAACCAAGAAATCACCTATCACAGGAGCCCAATGGGCTTCTGCCTATCAGAATTGGGATCATGCAATTCTAAAAAAAAATGGGGTGGACAACGTGCTGAAAAATAGCTGAAAAATAGCTGAAAAATGGCTGAACTTTTAAAAACTTTCGCTTCAGTAACCCAATTGAAATTTGTGACCTTACCGCGAAGTAAACTATTACAAGGAATATTCTACCATTGCCGGAAGGCGTGCGTGGTTCTATTTTCTCTTTGCCACGTTTCTTGCATAATTTTTAGTTCATATACATCGCCTACGCTAACTCAGGAAATGTAGATTTGCTTGTTAAGTTCCTTCAGTTTTTGTTCTTTTTTCTCTTTTTCAATTTTTTTTGGCATTTTTCTATGACAACATTGCCTAGAAGGTCTTACGAGGTGTGTGTTTATCAAATGAAACAAGTTAACATATAAAGAAGTATTAAACAAAGAAATTGGTACAATAGAATGTTTCTACATCTCTGCTAGTTTCCGATTTGGTGGACCGTTGTAAAGTTGAAAGTAATGCAATGGATCTTTCGTTGTTCTATCTAACAGACTTAAGTTTGTTTACCTAATTAGCTCTTAAAAACCTTTCAAATCATTATTCAGCTATTGTCAGACGCTTTTAAGATAAGTCACATAGCATTGCCGCCTTCGGATTCTTTAAATTCATCTGAAAGCTGGAGAAAAAGGAACACAGCGTGTTGCGCTAATTATTTGATATGCAGTGATAACCAGTTTTCTGAGGTGAGCTTAAGCCAAAAATTAATCCATCTTATGTCAGAGCTCTAAAATGCAATCAACTGCAGTGGTTCTGCTGAATTGGTAGCTTTGCTTAAATTCCGAGAGAGTTTTCAAGTCAAAGAATAGCTACTGAGGAGTACGAACATGGTAACATTCGGGGTTGCCACGAATCAACAGAAAACTGCAGTAATCAGTTTTCTAACCGGAAGTCAATTTACACCTGGCTTAAAACATTTTCTGTTTTGATAATATTTCATTTGTTTTAAGGAAGGAGGTTTCTTGCTGTTTCGGATAATGAGTGATCTTATCTACGTTATTAGATTTAACTTGAAATAGTTTTTGATTCAATATAATGGTGAGGTGAAACTTTTCAAGATTAATTAAGGAATATTAAGATATTTATCAACATTGCACGCTGTGGTTAAACAATATCTGGCACTGATCAGTGTAAACAAAGGTTGATCGCTGACGGATAAACCTTAAATGTTTTCGTCGTTGATTTGAGGAGTGATTGGTGGGCAGAACGTCTCTTTCATAGGTAAATATAGGTTATTAGACCCGTAGAAGAACGGTTCTTGGATGATTAACACTTAAGGGCTACCGACAATCTCCTGAGACGTTTTATTGCAACTGCTAATGTACTTTGAACGCAGGTAGGTAAGAATAATCCTATCTGAAAATGTTATACTCAACTTAAGCAACTGAGAGTAAGTTTTTAGCGAGAAACTTTGGTTCTTTTCGACTTAAACACTGCTCAAAGGAAAACAAAAGGAAGATTTTGTGTTGTGCTTCGGATTATAATATCGTATTAATATGGTAAACTCCGGACGAATTTTAGCATGGCTTTTCCATTTTGATTCTGTCGACGGTTTGTTTCACATTGTCCATAGTAATTAGTTGCACTAAATGCCTATCGGTTATATTGTGGCTCATGTAGACGTTATGTAGTTTTTTCTCTTGTAAGCAATAGATTGAGCTAACGATATATAACCGACGAAGATTGCTTTTAACACTCATGAGTCTCTCTCATACCTTTCAACTTTACTTGAAAGGGCTGTTAGTGATGGTAGTCAGTCCTCATGGCTCAAACCACTAATGGTTGCTAGAGTCAACGACCACCATCTCTTATGGTCGAAGTGTTTTTCACTTAAATGATAAGAGGTCTTTTCCGATGAGATGAAACATTCGCTCGCTTTAATACTGCCCGGAATAATGAAAATATTAGCCATCAAGTCTTCTCAATGTCATGCCTGAATATCAAAACGTAGTTCCATTACACTCTTCAAGCAGCATGTAAAGATGAATTATAATAATTTATTTAAGTGGCTATTCCTTAAAACGAGAGCCTCTCAACAATCCCATTACAATGGGTTATGGAAACCAAGTTTACATTGTGCATCGTCATCCATTTATTTAGACTCTGTGCGATACCAAACAAAATTTAATTCAAGGTCTAAGTTCATTCTTGCCGCTGCCTGCTATCACGAGTTTGTTGTACACAAAGTTTAATTTTTCATGGATTTGGTTGTCATTTACCGGCTCAAAACTTTATTAATTTTTTCACGAGTATCTAGAATTTACTGAAAAGAGCTAAAATAACTGTTACATTTTCGTACATTGACACCTCGCCTCTCCCCAAGAGTATGGAAACCTGTTGGTGCACAGTTTACAGGAAATGAGTTTAATTTTTAGATATGCACCTTTGAATATGTTCAAATCCTGAGGAGAGCTTCGCTTAGGCGAGTACACAACTCCAATAACTGTGGGACAAAAAGGTATTAGTTAAAGTTTTATTATCAACGTTTAATCTGGAAACTTGTAAAAGTATTTCGGCGTTTTCAGGACGGATTTGTACTCTATGCTGTAACCCACGCAAGGCCGAATAAAAGGCGTCTCCGGAAACTAACCCACTTCGCTTTTATCTTGGTCAAAATATCTCCAGTGTGATCCGATAAACAATGAAATATTTGCTGTTCGCACTCGTACGTTTGATTATAAACCCTTCCTACGCCTTTCACCCTGCTGCGACTAATAATTGATGCGGAATAAGACCTCCCCAAATGTAGACTTTGAACGTAACTTTTAAATGCATCGGGCAACGATATAAATTCAGAACTAAACAGTCTCTCGTACCGAGCAGGCTTTCATATTTTTGTTTTTTGACTGACAAAAGTTGGAACCGTTTTAATCCAGTTTTCAATGGCTTGACAAGAGCGAATATTCGACCACTGAGGTAAGCGATTGAACGCAGTTATATTCATGTTAGGCCTCAACAACAATATTCTCGAAGCGTGCCCAAGAGTAATCATTTAAAAGATTTTTGCTTCATCCTTTAAGCTTGTTTTGTCGAGAGCCTAAAAAGGCATGCGCTTATTTGACTTTGCATGAATAATTAGCCAGTAAATTAAAACGTGATAGATCTTCGCAGACGTGATTAGGTCAATGCCTCTGAACACAATAGGAACAAAAGCATAATTTAATTTCAAAGAAAGGCGAGTTAATTCAGAAATAAATATTTTCTCTGTGAAAATCTCTAAAAGAGGTGACGTTCTATTTGCGGTATGTCGCACAACGATGTCGGACCTTTCACAAATCAATTGTTCTTCACTAGGCTTTCATCACGAAGCAAGAATCAAAATGTCGGAGCTCTCTTGCTATGAACTCAGAGTCGTTGAAAACATCATTAAATGATGTTAGTTTTCAAGCAACCTCAACATTCATGCTGTTCGAAGTACATCAGTTCTCGGCCGGGGTTTATGGTTTAATTGCCAACACTGTTTCAACACTCACACTGAAGATGTTTGGTTATTCGAAGAGAAAGGAAAGTTATGCTCCTTAACCATTAATCCAAGTTTCTCACGGTTAAGAGCTTTAACAAGATTATTTTGAATTGGATAGAATTAAATAGTCAAAGATGTCTAAAAT